AAGTAACCTCACAAGTAACGAGATCAAATCCATTTATAATCTGAAAAATGATACTAACATTAAAACTCTAAAAGCTGACAACGGTAACACCACTGTCATCATGAACAATTCAGAATTATTGTACCTGATGATAGACAAAACCTTGTTGAAACATTGTACATTTGCTGTTATGTTAAACATATATCAAAGTTTTTCTTCATTACCCATTCAAGCCGTCTCCAGCCATTATTAGTCTCAAAGTGGGTTCCTCGTCATCGAATTTGAACCCATTGCTAGCTTTTTGTACATCCAGAGATAACCCCTTGAATTTTATTTTGGCTCTAATGTGGATTTCACTATGTTGTTGTGCAGGATTCCAAGAGAAATCTACATCAGCTGAATAACTTTGGAATAGATTCATTATTGAAGGAGATAACAGAAGATATTGATGCTTCAACACAGGACTCTCAAGACAGCGAAGGGGTGGAAACACAGAGTTCACAAAGTGATGATGGTGAGGACTATGTATATAGTATCAGATGGTGGTCTATATATTGTAGTTTTGAACTGTATACACATAAAAATTCAAATATATTTGAAAACCCATTAAAAAACAGGATAAAAGTTTATTGATGTCTTGTTGCAAACACTACACAAAATAAAATATTTGAATAAGTAAAATAAATAACTTCTGTAGAAGTTATAAAGATTACTTCGGACTAAAAGTGTCCCAAAACATCTCTTTCTTCATGTATTATAGTCTGTTTGTAGGTCTACATTTTTTAAGATGTACTTTCATTAAGATTTAGGTTTATTCAGAAGTTTGGAAAGTGGTGTTTCTTTTCAAAAACTAGTGTGATATATAGTGGTAAACACCAGTGTATTTAAACTATTGTGTATTTTAATATAAGATACCTATTTCCTCAGTGTATCAAAAGGCGTATAACTTCCATGGGTGATAGAGAGTATAAGCAAGATTTCTTGTATACTTTTACCTATGAGAGCCTTTTTGTTAAAACCAAAAAAAAAGGATTCTCTGCACCTAGTTTGCATCTGTGAGTGTCTGTTTACAACAAATTATATTGGTAAACTTAATGTCAAGGGAGGTAGTTCTGCTATCAAAGGTGCAGTTGAAGAATCTCTGAGCTAATAATAAAAGAACACAGTATTGTGTGTAGCAATTAGTGAAAAAACGACAGTAACTGGAACAAACTGTCAGAAGTCCGATATTAGAGAAACTAGTTTTGACACATTCGTGAGTCCTCTTCAGAAGACAATATGAGACTAAAGAGGATGCACGAATGTGTCTCAACTAGTTTCTCTGATATCTGACTTTTGATACTTTGTTCTGTTAACTGTGGTTTTTTCACTAATCTCTGAGCTATCAAAACTACAGTTGCAAAATATTGACTTCACAAACTTGCTTTACATTGAAGCAGAATATAAACACACAGCATACATTGGCCCAAGTTTTTAGTTTGTTAGTAAGGAACATAGTTTCTCAACATCTTCTTCTATAATTTAAGTATTTTTGTATAGTTAGTTCTGTTTAAAGTATAGGCTTAATGGTTGAAGTTGCTGTTTGATAGCTAAATTAGTAAGAACTTGTGTAGTTACAATGTGGTTTATAGTACATTTCCATCTTGTTAGTAATCTATCTAGTAATTTGATTTGGACAGGTTTGGTTAAGTAACTAGTGATGTAGAACTAAAATCACCAACATTCTGTTTGATAGCTAAATTAGTAAGAACTTGTGTAGTTACATTGTGGTTTATAGTACATTTCTAACAAGATGGTAATCTAT